AATCATGTAACTGCTAAATGGAAAATCTCCAAACCTTGCTGTAACCTCTATAAAAACCCCGCTAATTTGAAATTCGGGGCTCTCAATCTCGACCCGCTGCGTCGGTGACAGTTGAGAGTCCCTGCTCCAGCTTGAATAAACGACCCTCGTGTGCTTACATCGGGATTGGCTTCCTGATGGTCTTTGGGACTACGCGATCTGGGCACAACAGGGGCAGGGAAGGGAATGACGCTGTGTGAGACCCCAGCCACCCACAGTTTCAGCCTCTTTCAGTGTAGGAGCTGTCCTGTGGGCTTCCCGGTTCAGGAGGCCTAGCGAGAGGGCAGGCTAGATTCCTCTCTCCCTAGATCCCTCTGGGCTTCCGGGAAGGACCTACTTCTGGTGAACGAGCAGGCGGTGGGCCAGACCTCAGGAGAGAAGGCTGCTCATTCTTGGATGCATCTCAGGGAGTTTTCATCATCCGGAAAGGACGGGACGGGTGCCAGAGGGATGTTTCTGTGGGCCCGGGGAGAAAGGTCAGGGTCACTAAGAAACAATGAGAGGACCAGAGGGAAAGGGGGAAGCGGAGATTGCCCAGCGGTGGGGGAGTCAGCCGAGCTTCCCCTCAGGCTGAGTGCCTGCAAGGAGAGATGGCTATCTTCATCACCTGTGTGTCCCCTGCCTCCTCACTCACCTCCAGGTCCCCAGCACAGAGAAGAGGGACAGGGAGCCCAGGGTGGGGGAACAGGAAGAATGTGAAGCAGAAAGATAAAAATGGAGGAAACAAAAGAAAATGCTTAAGAAGCAAAGAAGGGCGCAGGAAGGAGAGTAGAGGCCTGGAGAGGGCAGGGACGCCCCTCAGGAGGACAGGGAAGTGGAGATGGGGGAGGGGCACCCCAGCCCCAGGGCGGCCTCGGCTCCGGGCTCAGCGCCGAGCACCCCGCCACCCCCACCCCGCGCTCCTGGCCGAGCCGGTCCGCCACAGGCCAGCAAAAGCCATTACGGAGAACAAACTACCTTCTTATCTCCCAGATGGTCCCCGGGACGGAAGGCAAATTGCCTGCCTCATACAAAACAAAGGGGCGTGGAGGGCCCAGCCGAGGCCCCGGCCCCTGCCCCCCAGGTAACAAGGGTCCGTCCCCTCGCAGAGCCCGTGAACCCCGCGGGCTCTCTCGCCCCGCCCGTGCACCGGTCCCCATCCCCGGAGCAGCCACACCCAGCCCCTACGCCACAATCCCTGGGGCGCCCTAGAATTCCATTCCTCAGCGTGGAAGAGCTGTACCCTCATCCTTAAAGTCCCCGTCTTGAGCTCACATCCCGCTCCCAGAACTCTCTCCAAGTCACAAGTAATGGCTTTCTCTTCCCGCCAAGGTGGCACTGCGTTTAGACTCCTAGTATTTAGAGAACGCATCACGTGCGCAGCTATTTGCATACACATGCGTCTCTGCTACTGGAGGACACGTTCCCAAAGGACAGAAAACATAATTTTCTTCTGTCCATGCCCCCCAGAGACTTCGCACAGTGTCTAATCCTGAATGAATGGATGAATGAATGAGTTTCAATGGATGGAGCCAAAGCCCCAAATCACCAATCTGCCACAGGTTCCTTTCTTCCACTTACTATTTCCCTTTTGCAATTCCTGTTCTCCCTAAGCTACAGTACTACATAGGGGCGAAGGGCTTTGGACGGCACCTAGAGAATACAAACCACTCTCATGAGGACAGAGGACGTTGAAGTGAGGGAGAGAGGTGTATAGAGCCCAGCCTCTGCCTGAAGGAGCTTCCAGACTGGTGAGTAAGCCACACAAGGAAACAGGGAAACCCAGTATGCTGTGGGCATGGGAAGAAAAAGCAAGGGGCTCACAGCTTTTCCTCAGTCACAGCAGTTACTAATTTGTCCGCGACATGGATGCCAGGATGGGGAAAAGGAGAGGAGCATTTAGCAGGAGTCTGTAATGGAGACAGGGACAGGAGGGGAAGAGACCTGGGAGGAGGCAAAGCCTTACACAGGCGTTGTAGAATGGTGGTGAGTTATTTAGGAACACTGTAATAAAGGGGTGGACAGAGGGTTGGTTTCAAGGCGAGAAGGAGGGACCCATTCAGTCCAAAGAGCTAGGACGGTAAGTGATGGCAGTGGCTCAAATCATGGAAAGAAGGGGGCAGGCTGAGTGGACTCCTAAAACCTGGGAAGGCAGGTGAAGCTGGAGAGGGGACTGAGGTCAGTTTATAGAGGCCCCTCGACCAACTTGTTAATGGGCTTAATTTTATCCCGACCTTGACAGAGAGCCATGGAGTGATTTCAGCGCTGAGAGTATCACATCAGATTTGCATTTTAGAAGGATTATTTCAGCAGCAGAGTCAAGTATGGATTAGATAGGGTCAGGCTGGAGGCAGAAGAATCAGATAGGAGGTTCTGGTATTAATCCAGAGGAGGAAATAAAGAAAGCCTGGACACAGCAAGCATAATGGAAATGGAAGGAAGCAGCCAGCCTGGAGTGGGAGCAAGGAGGCAGAGCCAGCAGGTCCTGGTGATTGACAGGATACAGGGTTGAGGAACAGCAAAGAGACAAACCTGGCTCCCAAGGTTTTTTGTTTGTTTTTTTTTGGTACCGGAGATTGAACTCGGATCCTTGCGCTTGTGAGGCAGGCGCTGGAACCACTGAGCTAAATCCCTGGCCCCCTAAGGATTTTGATTAAGTCACCCAGAGAAGAAAAAGTGGGGTTTAGGTAAGGTATGTTGCTTTGTGGTTCTGCAAGGTATAAAAACATGAAATGTGGGGCCAGTCATGGTGGTGCATGCCTGTAACTCCAGCACTGTGGGAAACTGAGGCAGGAGGATTGCCAGTTTGAGCCCAGCCTGGGTAACTTGGTGACTTAGTAAGACCCTGTCTCAAAATTAAAAAAAAAAAAATGTACCTCGGTGTGGAGGCCCTGGGTTCAACACTCAGGAAAAAAATAAAAGAAAAGGAAGGAAAAGAGAGAGAGAAAAGAAATGTGTGTCTACAACTCAGAAAGAAAATGGGCTGGAGGCAGAAGTTTGAGAATCAGCCACATAATTCTGGTCCCTTAAAGACAAAAGAGCAGATAATATTATCCTTGAATATATGAATCCAAGGAAATAGAGCCTGCAGTGAAACATTGCAGATGCTTGTACACACTGGTGAGAAGGGTGGTTCGAGAGGTGGGGGGAATTGGATCTGAGGTGACACCCTGAAACGTGAAGGGAGAGTTGTTACTGTGGGATGCTCTAGATGGGAAAGGCAGTGTCAGGAAAATTGTGAAAAAGGCTTTAAAAAGGACAAAAGATCATTGCGTGTCCTGTCTAAATTACCCATCAGAGTTCACCTCAGCCTCACATCATCTGAGAGCTATTTTACAACTCCAGAAATTGTGGAACACTGAACTCCCCATGATGAATATAATCATTATGTACTGCAAACATGTACTAATAAGAATAAAAAGAAAAAAAGAAAAATGCAGATGATTCTTGCTCATAGAAATGCAAATTAGTTGTCTGGTTGAGTGCAATTGCTTTAGCACCCTCTGGATAAACCAGTTTTATATCTATTTGTAAATTCATTCATTTCAGAATTCCTGGCTGACCTATATAAGTGTGGTACTTTGAATTTTCCTTTGAATCAACTGAAATAACTTACTGGATTCTTCATTAACTAATAGATTGAATACAACTTTTGACATGAATCATGTTATAGTTATTTGAAAGTTATAATTTAAACTTTGTTTAAAAAGTCATCCTATAACAGAAGAAAATAAATGAAAAGTGTCCACTGAATCTGATCACTGCAGCAAAATCTGTTTGATAGGACTGGCAGGAGCAGAAGACAAATTTCGGTGTTGGGGTCTGAGGTGAGGAAATAAGCATGATGGATTTCAAGAAACTTAGCTGTGAAGGAAGGGCTGCATTTTCTGGAGGGCACCAGATTGTGGGAAGAAGGGTTTTTAAAAAATAGACCTGGCTTCATCATGTTAAGAGCTGGCATCACAGTTACTCTTTACATTCTCAATACCTTGGTATCTGTGCTGGGTATAAAAACAATGATAGAGGCCCAAATGGAGTAGGGGTTAAGTGGCAAAGGAAGAGCACTTAATTTGGCATCATGGGGTAGAGGGGTATCATATGAGTCTTATATGATATGTCTTTTTTTTTTTTTGGTACCAGGGATCAAACTCGGGACCTTATGCTTGCAAGGCAGGTGCCGGAACCACTGAGCTAAATCCACTGCCTCTGATATAAGTCTTATATGATATGAGTCCTGATATGATTCTTAAGAAAGAGTGAGACAGGTCTCTTCTAAAATGATCGTGGAGAGTCAGAGACAGAGAAAGGAGTGTGCTGAGTCAGTGCTAAATCTGATGAAGAAAGCACACTGCAGAAGGAATGCCTTAGGATCAAAGGACCTAGATCCTGACTCTCAGCATTGACTTGCCATGAGCATTATAGATAGAAAAGCCATGTGTGCCTGGCATGGTGGCACATGACTATATTCCCAGCACTGTGAAAATGTGAGGCAGAAGAATCAAAAGTTTGAACCCAGCCCAGACAACTTAGCAACTTATTAGGACCCTGTCTCAAGATGAATGAAAAAAGGACTGGAGATATAGTTCAGTGCAAAGGCCCTGAATTCAATCCCCAGTACTATACACATAAACAGGCACACATGCACATGTACACACACACACACACACACACACACACACACACACACAGCCCAATATTCCGGTCTGGGTCTGGGGATGCTTATCATGTATGAGGACCTAAGTCTGATTCCCAGAATCACCAAAAACAGCGATAACAAAACCAACCAAAAACAGCAACAACAAAAAAGCAATGCGTTCTGAATGAAAAATAGGTTCAGGACATTTGAAATTGTATTTTTCTGAAATCTAGTTTGCTTAGTTGCCATAGTTTGATATCCCAGAAAGACATCAGGATCATAGAAGCATAGATGTTAGTGCTTAGAGGGAAACTCAGAGATTATTGATCCAATCCCCTGCCATTAAAAAGCTATTCCAATCCTCTAAATTCCAAACTCCTAACTGTTTTATGGATAAAAAACCTGAAGGTGTTTCCTTTCTCTGGGGGTGCTTCAACATTATTGATATTCTGCTACCTGAATCCGGATCTACACAACCAGCCCAGAGGCCTAAACCTGAATACTAGGATTTTTCTCCGCAATCTACCAAAATCCTAATTGTTCTATATACTTGCCTTGAGGTGTGTGTGTGTGTGTGTGTGTGTGTGTGTGTGTGTGTGTGCTCACATGCGCATACATGTGTATATGTTTAACCATCATGGAAAGTTTAAATACAAAAGGAAACTGTCATAAAGTGGGATCTGTGGCCTTCCATCTGAAAAGGACTGATTCTTGAGCAATAAGGTCTCATTTTCTTTTCCTGTCCTAGTGAGGAGCTGCCCTTTCAAAAGAGGAAATGAATTCCAGCCTGTTTTCATGGCATGTAGCCAAGACTAAAGGGCCAAGCATCAAAAAAAAAAATGGTTTTAATAAGTGAAGAGACGGTTAATAGCCCTTTAGGTTACTGGAAGGACAGAGTTGGAGCCTAGGGCCTCTGAAGCTGGAAGCTTCTTGAGTTTTTTTGCTGAGCTTTTGTGCTGGCTGGCCCATGGGGTGTAGAGGATGGAGGAGAGGGGAATTCCCATAAGGCCTAACTTCAGAGGCCTATTATTGGGAGAGTTGCCTGTAATCACATATATGAAAGTGCCTAGCACATTTACTTAAAAAGTATGAGCTTCCTCCCCATCACAAACCCCCCATCCTGTGTGTTCTCAAAACCTCAGGTGGTTTCATTGAAGCAAAAGGATCTGGCACTGAACCCCATGACAGAATTGTCAAAGAGAACAAGATCAGCGAGGTTACAGGGGCAACCTCAGAGAGCTCCTTCCTCCCTTCCACCATGACAGGACTCAGAGAGAAGGCACCATCTATGGACCAGGAAAGAGCTTCTCACCAAACACTAAGTCTGCACTTGCAACCTCCAGCACTGTAAAAAATAAATTTCTATTGTTTAGAAGACACCAGTTTATGATGTTTTGGTGTAGTAGCCCAAATGGACTAAGACTAATTTAATTTCCTAGTATTAAAGGTGGAACCATGGACAAGTACTCTTTTAAGGAATTGCTACCAACATCACGATGTGGGAAACAGATTTCTGCAGTACAAGCGCTGGAAGCGGAGACTCTTTAACCAGTGCAGGAGTCTAGAGAGCTGATGGATCTTGGGCTAGGGCACAGCAGTGGAGGTCATGTGGAGTGGTAGGATTCGGGCACCTGCACAGCTAATATCTGTCTATGCTCACCCTTTCTTCCTCTAGAGTGAGTATCATCATTCCCATTTTATGAAGAAGAAAACCAACTCGGCAAGTTTCTGTAGCTTGTCCCAGGTTACATGGCTAATAAATGGAGTTTGGATTATAACTGGGTCTGGATTCTCAAATTAGAGAGAAAACAGATCTAGATCCTGAGAGAAGGAAGGATCTGGGATGTTGCAATGCCAGCCGTGCTATTAAAAATCCATGTGACCCGCCACACAGAGCACATTGAATCTGGGACCTGCACAGAAATGAGGCTGTGGTGCCTGCCATGGCCATGGCTGAGCTGATGGACCTGAGAAACACTCTCATCCTTCTCTTTGGGATTTTTGCTTAAGAATCATCTCCCACTTTGTGAGAAGGATGACTTTCAGGACCATTGTGGAGTGAAGAGGCCATGACTATCTCCTAAGGAAGAGCCAGAAGACCACATCTGAATTCACTGAAGGATGGGAGGTAAAGGAAGGCAGAAATCCTGAGTGGGATGGGATGGAGGACTTTCCCCCCTACTAGTGGGGTGCAGGGGAAGGTGCTAAATTTCCTAATATATTTTCAGAACTCACCCAGAACTCAGGGCAAACAGGATGTGGAGAGTCAGGACACCACATCATAAGAGAAATGGTTTGAAGAATCTAGAATATTAACTAAGAAAGAGACCTCTCAAAAGAGACATGATGCCATGACCACCACATTTCACTATCAAAAGAGTTACCTGCAAGAAGTGGGACAGCACTTCCTAAAGACGGAGCTATAGCCATTGGGTAAAAATTGCAAAGGAGGCAGATTTGTGCTCAGTAGAAGAAAGAAATGTCTTCTAACCTATCTTGCCAAAATATTGGAAGAGCCTGTTTTTATTTAAAGGTGGCAATAATAAATCAACAGTATGGCATATTTGCATATATTGGGTTAAACCATATAAAATTGCTGTTCAGCCATTCTTTTTTTTGTTTGTTTTTTTTTGTACTGGGGATTGAACTTAGGACCTTGTGCTTTCTACGCAGGCAGCAGAACCACTGAGCTAAATCCCTGGCCCTGTTCAGCCATTCTTGACCTACAAGGACAGCAAGTTCCTACAGCTTGACTGGCTCCATCTTCCACTCTCAGAATAATTTCCAGGGCCTTCACAGACCTGTTCCACCCTACCTCTCTGCTATCAGTGTTATAGCTTGTGTCTAGATGTCCCCCCAAAGCCGCATTCAATCATGGTAAGGGCTTTTTCAGAGGTGGCTGGATCTAAAATGTGATGCTCGGATTGATTCATGGTGCAATGCTAGGACCAAGGGCACTAGGACTAAGATTGTGACATCTACCTGCCCTAAGTAGCCTGGATAAGATATAAGGGTAGAAAGAGCTGTGGTCTTCTTGTGCTTGCTTTGCTACCTTCTGCCCACCATGAACTGTTTCTCCTCTGCGATGCCTGTGCCAAGCCATCCTGCCTTGGAGCCAGCCAATTATGGACTGAAACCTCTACAAATTGTGAGCTAAATAAATCTTTCCCCCTTTAAATTTGGATGTTGAGGGAAAAGATACTAAGACAACTTACCATTCTCCTCTCTTTCTGCTCCCAAAACACACTCTTTGTTGACCCTTGACCCTATGCCCTCCTTTCTGCCTCAACGCATTTGCAGTTGCTGTTCCTCTGCCTAGAATATTCTTTCCCCTGGATATAAGCCCAGAGAGTCCCTGAGCTCTATCTGAGAGACTTTCTCTGATCATCCAGCATGAAACAGCATAGTCCTCCTCCCCTGCATGCTCTATGCTCTGCTCCATGTCACCCCTTAGCACTTACTATTCTCTGTCATCCATTTATTTGTTTATTGTTTGTCTCCTGTCATTTCTGTGTAGTCCCATGAGTTCAGGGACTTTGCTTTTTGCCCTGCTTTATCCCCTGGGTTTGGAACTGTATCAGGCACATGGTAAATGTTCAATAAATATTTTTTGCCTTAATGAAAGAATGATTGTTATCAATAAGGCTACCAAGGCTCAGAGAGATCAAAGAACTTTCCCAAACCCATGGAGCTGGTGCCCTGGGAAGCTGAGAAGTCCAAACATCCCAATGCCAGAGCCTGGCCTCCATGGAAAGCCACCCTGCTTTTGCATCCCAGTGGTTTCTGAGGCTGAACTGGGCTCCTGCATCGGGCCCATTATTGGCCAGAGACTCCTTCAAGTTTCGAATCTATTTTCCACAGGTAATCATCTGTTATAGTGAGGGAATCACAAGGGCTTTGAAAAGGGCAAGGTTTTGGTCACCCCTTAAGGCTACAGCATGACTGTAGGGAGCCAGATTCTGCTAGGATACTGTTTGAAAACAAGCCCTAACCAAGTGTCTCTTTTGGGGAGGTGGAACATTAATCTGAGCCTCAAAATATGAAATATTCCCCAGTTTGCAAATGAATGCAGGATGTGTTTGTACAGCGACCACCAAGAGAGCAGTATTATGTGGAGAGGAACAAAAAGACAAAGCTCCAGGGTGCAGTTGTGGGAGCTGATGGCTCTGCTCACCCCAGGAGGTTGCCTCTGTGTAGCTAATTACAAGGAGTAGAGGAAATGGGGAAATGAGTCCCCTCGAAGGAAGTGATCTTTCTCCTCCCCCAGGTTCCTGCTTTGCAGAGAGCTGGTCTTTGGCCTGGTAAGATGGGCTCCACCAGACCCAGCTGGATGGACACATTCTCCTACTATCAGGTCACCACTAGAGCAGTAGTTGTGTCAGTGGTGAGGTGTGTGGCTTGGGTGCAAGACAATGATGGGGTGGGTGGGGCCCACAGTGTTAATAGATGGGCAGCTAGTGGTTCACAAATCACTTTTCTCTATCCCATCTCATTGAGTGCTCAAAAGATTTTACGCATAGATGAAGTGGACCAGACAAGTGTGCTGACCTGTAATGAGTCATGGAGTTACATGAGGCATTGCTGGGTAGGATTTTAACCTAAACCTCTCATTCCACAGTCTATGTTCTTTTCTTAACTCCTGGGCGATTGCTTACATCTCTCCTGCTGTCTCTTAGGAAAAGGGCAAAGGAAGAAAAGGGACAGATGCCCACTGCTGCCTTCCCTCTGAACTAACAAATGTGAACGTTTACTGAGGGCTTAAGTGCTAGAACTCTGCTAAGCACTTTCTGTGGGATAGAAACTAATAGTAGTCTATTTCACAGAAGAGAAAAGACATGCAGAGTTGTAATTTACCCAAGGAGCAAATGGCAAAGTGAGGATTTTAACACACTCTGTGATCATCAGGGTAGGATACAGGAAGTTGCAGTAGCAAACAACCACAGAATGTCCTCTTGGGAGCTGGGGGTATAGCTCAGTGGTAGAGCTCCCACTTAGCATGGCTCTGGGTTTGATTATGACCAGTACCCCCTCCAAAACTAGAATCAAAATAAAGATTCATCTCTCTCTCAAATTACATGATCATTGGGCATGGTAGCACACAAGTGTAATCCCAAGCATTATGGGAAGCTGAGGCAGGAGGATTACAACATTGAGGCCAATCTGGGCAACTTAACATCTTAGCAAGTCCTTTCCTCAAAAAATTAAAAACTGGGGGGCCAGGGATTTAGCTCAGTGGCACCATGCCTGCCTCAAAAGCACAAGGTCATGAGTTTGATTCTCAATACAAAAAAAAAAAAAGAAAAACTGGGGATGTAGCTCAGTGTGAAGGCTCTGGGTTCAATCCCAAGTACTGATTTTTAAAGAATCACAAGATCATCATGGGTTGGCTCAGGGACCCAGGCAGAGTAACTTCACTATTGTAAAGCTGCACCATCTGGAATCAATGGCTCCTGTCACTATGGCAGGGGAAGAAAAGGCTGGAGAGCATCACATTGGCAATTAAGTGTTTGTGTCTGGAAGTGACATGTCACTTGTTTATAGCACATTGGCCAAAAGTATCAGGTTGGCATTGCACAGCAGCCAGGGGACTCAGAGAAAGCCCAGCAGCAGTATGCACTGGCCATACCCATCAGCTCGCCTGTAACCTGAGTACACACTTTTCACCACCATGTTGTACTACTCCATGGGCTCCTGGCTCTAGGCTAAATCTCTGGCTCATTGTGTTAGATGACTCCACTCCCTCTTGCCTTCCCTGCACACCTCCTCTCCAGCACACTGAACACCTCCATGCCAGGCACTGTGTTGGGCGGCCGGAACACTGCAATAAGTGATACAGGGTTTCTGCCTTCAAGCATCCTTCTTCTAAGAGCAAAGTGCTAACGTGACACACAAAACAGAAGATAGAAATGAGATGAGGTCAGCATGGGACTTCCCAAGAGGAAGGAAAGTGGGTAAAGAATCAGGCCAGCCTTCGAGGAGAAGCACTGGAGTTGGGTTTGAAAGATAAACAAAAAAATGGAAATAAGAACATACAGGCAGGGAAAAGAGCACAGAGGCAGGAAAGTGCAGGGCCATGCTGCTGACAAGGGCTCATTGCATTTGATTGGGCTGAAATGAGGGAATGTGAAAGGTGAGGCTGAATGATTCAATTCTTTGCAAGGGTGATTTTGTGTCTGAACATAGGCCAAGAACTTCATAAGGAGGGAGTGGTTTTGTTTTTGGTTTTGTACCATAGATAGAACTCAGGACTTGTGCTTGCAAGGCAGGCATGGCACCACTGAGCTAAATCCCTGGCCCTAGGGGGTGGTTTTTAAAGCTTATTGGTGATAAAGGAGCTATGTCATTGTTACTCATCCTCAGGGTAAAAGTAACTTAAAGGATGAGCTGAGGCCCTGGCACTGGACAAATCCTAATACACTGGAAAAGGCTCCTATGGCCTTTCTGTGACCAAGAAGAAAGTAAGTTGAAGCCAAGGGGGCCTCTACACACTGACTTGTCCTACAGTACCTGCTGGCCCTGTGCTAGGCTCTGGGGATGCAGAGATGAATAACAGGGTCCACGGCCATTCCACCATGAACATGGCTGATCTTGAATGGTTGATGAATAAAACGTACCCCAAGGGGAAACACAACACGGGCAGCAGGGCACAAGCAGAAAGTATTTCAACCAATACCATTTGGCTTAACAATTCACTGGACTTCCATGTTTGCAAAATGCCCCCTCACCCGACCCCATTCTGCATACATCTCTATCCTGTCAATGGCAACCTCGGCCAGTGCAGCTTAGATGCGTGCAGCCTCTAGCTTCAACCTGCACTGGGCCTCTCATTCCCATCCAGGTCACTCTCACCTTGGGCTACTTGCAAGCCATGGGTCCTGGCCTCATGCTTCTCGACTCAAGTCCCTGCACCTGTACTGTCTCTTGGCCACAGCTCTTGAGATGAAACCACCAGTCCTCTTGGAAATGGCTTGATCTCTCTCTCTTTTCAATTCTCTCACCCTATCTCTGTCTCTGGCTGTGCTCCATGAACCGTATATACAATAAGGTTCCTGTGAACTCTTTTAAGTTTGGTTGTTAAACTGGATGAGGAAAACAGTATGTCCTTGTATTTCTCTAATGATTTATAATTCTCAAAATCATTATCTGAAAACAATTCCAGTATCCTCAAATCCAATATCCAATTCTAATATCCTCAAATAGTCCCATGAAATACACAGGGTGAAACCTTAGCAAACCCAACTCAGAGCATTCAGGTTTTCTCAGACTGCCATGGTGTCTGCTTCCTTATTCTACAAAGAATATACTACAAGTTCAAAAGGTTGGAGACCAGGTCGCTTTTCTTCCCCCCCTTCCCCACTCCGGAACAAAACCAACTCAGCCTGCACACCCTCCCCGCCAGTCTTTTGGGATCTGGATCCCAGTTTCAAAGCCTCCCCCTTTCCCATCCTCATAATCAGATCTGGCACAAAACATTTGGAGGCTGAGCTCCAAAAACACAGAGCTCCTGGCTGTTGGTCCCTGAACTGCTGCAGTTGGCCTCAGGGTTCTGCAACAGTCACAGACTGGTGAATAAAATGTTTGCTACACAGCCTGGAGATGAGACAAATACATAGTTTCAGCCATCTCAACCCTCCATCTATCTTTTCCGCAAACCTGGACCATTTCACCTCAAACCTGGCAGCCTTTTAAGTAACCAGCTGCTCAAGTATTAAATAACACAGAACATAGCACTTTTTAAAACATTTATATTTATATATATAAAAAATTAAATATATATAATATATAGTGTGTTTGAGACTAAAAATATAGTACATAATATTTAAAAAAAAAGAAAAAAAAGGCAGAATAGGAAAAGGTGTGAGGGACACACAGATACACATTGCTAAAAATCTACGATGGTTTGTCCTAACAAAAATAATATTTTCTTCTCTTCTTTTAATTACCATCATGGATCCATTTATCACTGGGATTTGGGTGGAGAAAATTCAACTGGAGCCAGAAACATTCCCAAGAATGTCTGGGGTAGAAAATATGACCACAGGGAGCCCTGGGCCTCTTCCTGGTGCAAGCAGAGGCAGCAAAATCTTCTGCGCACTATTGTTAAGGACACCGTGCCAAGAGTTTGATTGTGCCGGCACTCTGGGTGCTGTCTCCCCCCAGGCTCCAGGTGTTCCCAGGGGCTGCGTGTGAAGAGCTCCAGAAACTGAAAGAACCTTAGCTCACCACCTCACCGAGGCCACCAGGCAGGGCTAGTGGAAAGTCAGGGATGGTGGACATCACACTGGTGGAATGAGCTCCATGCACATGGAGCTATTATTATCGTTATTAAGGGTGGGCTTGTACCAAAATTGCCCAATATAACCTGTGACTTCTGCACAGCAGGTATTTCTCCAGGTACAGGGCCTGGAGCTCCCTCACAGTGATACAAGAGAATGAGATTTTGCTCCCCATCTTCAAATTCAGAAATATTCCAAGCCACACACACAGCTTAGTCCTCTCCATTAGCCCAGAGGTGCAGTGTCAGGACCAAGTGAGCTGTTGCCACTCAGAAACAATCTGGCCCTGAGGAGAGGAGGAGAAACACCTTGGGAGGCTGAAGGGAGGTAGTGGGGAAAGAAATGGGATATTCAGATGGTGATTTTATAGGTCCTCCACAGAAATAAGTAACACTGCTTGGCCTGTGCACCTCCGTGCTCCATTGTCACCTCTTCACTGGGCTCACCAGTGTCAGGAGCTTCACTGATTCTTTCCGGTGATTCCCCAACTTGCAGAGTGGCCTGCAGAGGCACGAGGCAGTAAAATGGCTCAGACCACACAGCCCTAACACGGTAGACAACCGGGGTTTCGGAGCCCAGTGTGGATTTGGGAGGTCCTGGAGTTCAGCAGGACGAGAACAGTACAGAATGTGGCAGGGACTGAGCCAGTTCACTCCCAGTGGGTCTTGGTTTTCACATGTGCTTTTCCAAACCCTGATGGCCCAACACTGCCATGTAGGTGGGTCAAGTGTAGAGAGCCCATGGGATTCCATTTTAAGAAGCCCAGGTCTGGTGTCTCCTGGTACAGTAGCCAGTTTAGCCACATGGCATGAGGGCGAGCTCTGCTGCAGTGCACTAAGAGACAGCATATTGCTTAATTTTCATTCCAGGCCAGACATTTGTGAGAGGCTAGTGCTACTCCCTTCCCTGGCTACTGTCCTTTCTCACTTAGAATGGGTTTTGCTTCATGCCTGGACTTTTGAGGGATCTAGAACTTGGGGTGTAGGCTGGGCCCTCCACAAGCAAAGAGGCTGCCGTTCACCCAGTCACAAAAACCTCTTGGAGATCCAGAGAAAAATCATTGTACCCCTCTTCCCTCTACTAGCTGCCCATCCAACCTGCTCCCTAATTTCTGGCTCAAGATTCCTGGGACTGCTGGCTTCACCTTGCTGGGTAAGCAGGGTGAGTTGTCCCTGGGGCAGGGGAATATTCAGAGGACCAGGTGGAGAGTGCCTGTTTCTACATCTCCCAGCAGTAAGTGCCCCAAATCTGGATGCTCAGTAAAGGTAACTCACCATGCACGGCCCTGGCCAGACACCTTTGCAAACCTATCAGAAATCAGTGGGAAGTAGCACAGACAGTCTGGTTCCACTTTGGTTTAAAGTGGCTGTTTGAATAAAGGGGGTCCTGGTAGAAATCAACTCACAAGACTTCTGACGAGACAGTGAAGCCCACTGTGCAAGCTTCTTCCAATAGGAGAGAGCCCCTCCACTCCCCAGCCTCCACCCTGCTTACTTACTGCTCAACACAGAAAGGCAGCCCCTTACCACACCTCTCCAAGTGAGAAGAGCAAAAACAGAACAGTTCTAGCTTCATGCAAGCCTTTCCTCTTATTTTGCAGGCCAGAAAATTAGAGGCAATGAACATAGAGGATGGACCCAGGTCACTCAGTAAACTGCTTCAGAACAGACCCTTAGCCTCGTTTTTCCCACTAAGGGAGTGACCTCAGAGGTGATCAAGACACCAAGCACTAGGGCCCCACCATGCTGGAGGACATCAGCCTCTGACAACAGAGCCCTGTGATCAAGGACACCTTGAACTCCCCACACAAGCAGGCCCCTCCTCCGACTCTGATGGTGCAGTGTGGATCTCAGAGGGCGGAGTCTGCTCTGGTTGCTGATGTTTCCCTGAGCCTTGCATGGTGTAGTTACCCAGCAGGCGCCAGGGCAAGTGTAGTGGAACAGAAAACAGTTGCAGCTCTCTACCACTCTCCTCAGCAATTCTCCCAGGGTGCCAAATGCTAGCTGAGTTACCTCGTAACACTGGCATCTCCTCTCCATCTTTTCAACAGAAGAGCCCTAGTACTTCAACCAACAGCAAAATAGGATAATGTGCCCAGACCCAAAGCAAAAACGAGTATTCTGGAGATTCCCATTTAAAAAGCCACCATAGACTTAGGCTTAAAAGTGTTTGGATTGCCCATGGCTTCTGGTGTCCATGAAAAAAAAAACTGGCATGAGTATCCTCACAGGGACCTTCAACCTTTAACAGACCTTGTTGCTGAGCTCCCCTGAAAGGACTCTGCAGGAAGGTATGATTTCCCAGTGACTGATTACAGCTAGGATCCTGTAATGGCCCCAGGTAGGGCCCACTGTGGGGAGTGTCCCACTGATGGGGAGGGGGATGTGGAGGCTGCCTGCTGGGCTGGGATTGGAGCTATGTGCTTCCTGGGTATTATCTGGTCCTTACTAGCAAGGGGATGGCTGAGAATGTCACCCCACAGAACCATCTGTAAGGGTGGCGATGGCCCGTGGCTGATGAGCATGTAACTCATTAAAGCGAACATGACTAATGAATGGTAATCACCAAGAAAGGGCAAGGAGCATTCTGGGAATTTACCGGAGGCCCCCTCCCCTAGAGAAGGCAGCAATGGGGAGGGGAAGAGCCGACTCCATGTGTAGCTTCCTGGGGAGGTGAGGCCAGGGCAGGGGCATAGGTTCTCTTTGGAGTGCCTGCTCTCTTTGGTCAGAAAGTGGCAGCTGGGAAGTGATGGCTGGAATGTGTGTGGGCGCGTGTGCATGTGGGTGTGGGACAAGGAAGCACAGGCGAGGAATGCCTGCAGTGCCCTTTGGGCCACCTTCTCCGTCGTCGGGGCCATTTCCAGCCCTCTCCCATCTCCCTTTCAACACTGTAACACTTGGCAGCCTGTCTGAGGCTCACAAGTACTTGCTCCCTACATGATCGCCCATGGGGACGGTCGTCCAAACCATGACACTCAAGGCACTGAAAGTGGAAGAAATGATTGGTCCAAAAAGAAAAAGACACTTAAACCAAAACCTGTCTGGACAGAACATCTCCTAGGCCTTCTGGAAGGTGGCCTCTGACCAGCCAGTGAGCCTAGGGGAGGACAGCAGAGGCTGCAAGCCCTTCCCTACCTCCATGGAGCCCACCTGCCTGCTGACAGGTCTTACCACCTGAATGTACACAATGGGTTCAAAGTGCTTAGATACAAGGGTAATGGAGGATGACAGGAACCTGGTGGAGAACAAGTGGACCATTTCCTTTCCACTGGGATTCGTATTTGGGTGGGAGAACCCCTATAGCTTTTCATTCCAAGTGAGGTTTTCATTGCCTCTGAAAAACAGCCTACCTACCACAATCTAGCACTCCGTAGGAGGCTCCAGATAAAGCCAGTTAGTGGGGTACACTGGGGAGAGAAAGGTGCCCAAGTGGCTCCCTCTAGTGTTGGTTCTGGGAGCTGCCGCGCACCACACAGCGGTCTCCTGCCAGTCCATCAGGGCATGGAACTATCTTTCTCCCCTCAAACCCTGCTTTATTTGACTGGCCCAGCATGGAGGAGAAGGAAAGGGGGCAGCACTACTGGTGATGTCTGGATCCCTCTGGACAGACATGTCCACAGTGGCACCAGAGTGACTGGCATTCTGACCCCAGCTGAACTTAGTGCTAGGGCTGTTCTGTAGACAAAGAGCTCAACTAAATGCAGGGTCCCTTCCGCAGTCCTCAGAGGAGGGAATGATGCACCCAGGGCATGAATACAGACAACACAGGAAAGGACTGGCTGAGCTGTCCTGCTTTCCACCTGTCTGTGCCGAAGCCCCCCACTCCCGTGCTTCATGTGCCTTGGGCCAAAGCCTGCCCACCCCTGCATCCTCCTCTGCCCACCTACGGGAGACCTGAGGGATGGGGTAGAAAGGGAATGCTAAAAAGCGGCCCCCTGCTCTCCCCAAGCTTCACTTCCCCTGTCCTCATGTTGGGATCAGGCAAGAGCACAGGTCAGAAGAGACACCTCCTCCCGAAGAAGAGGGGAGGGCAGGCCCGGGAGGCTGGGGCATGCACAGAGCACCATCCTCAGGATGGGGTGCTTCTGGGAGACCTGCTCCACATCTGTCATGGCAGGAGGAGGAAGGCTGGTCCGAGAAGGGAGTGAGAAGCAATGCCCCTGAATATCAGGGAACAGCTGTGAAAGCCTTCTCCTCTGCCCCGCAGAGACTCCCAGCAGACTCTGGGCCCTACACATGAGTCTGCATGCGCTGCTGGAACCGCTGGCCATAGTCTGAGTGCTGGGAGGTGTAGGAGAACCTCGTGGCTGTTGCGTACTTGCCAATGGGGTCGTACGCCTCGTATGGGGTCCGCTCCAGGCCTGTGGGGGGAGCCTGGGGGTAACCCAGTCGATAAGTGGGGTACCCAGATGCCCCAGGGAAGGGATGGGAGTTGAACTTCTCATAGTTCTCATAGGACAGCTGGCTGGTGGTGTCGGTGCCAGCTGGGGCAGCTGAGCCAGGGGGTGCGGGCTCAGGGCCGTAGTCAGAGGCAGGGGCGCGGCTGTAGGTGTTGAGCTGAGCATAGCCACTGGAGTGGGACAGACGGGACGAGGGGCGACCATCGAAGCGGGTAGGGCCAGGGGCACGGTAGTCAGCATAGAGCACTGCCCTGGAGGACGGGCGGTCTTCGTGTGCACGCACATTGTAGTAGCCGTTGGTGGGGTCCTGGGGGGCAGTGAGAGAGGAAGGTGGAGGGGGAGCTTCCTCCTGAGGCAATCGGGTCCCACCATCCTTCCGGGCCTCTCCTCTAGCTGTCCCCTGTCCCCACCCAGAGTCACTCCACCTCCTCCTCCAGCTCCTCCCCGCCCATCCTCACCCCCACCCAGCTGGCCCCTTTCCCACCTTCATCTCATACTCCTCCCGGGTGTCAATGGTGTCACAGCGCAGGTCCTGCTTCACATCCACATCATCCTTAAAGGACTGCAAAGCCGCAGGGGGGTGTGAGGAGACAAGGTCCCTGTTCTTATCCCCTCTCTCCAGCCCTGTCCCCATGCCCAGAAGCCACCTGCTCAGGGAAGGGTCTGGGGTCAAGGGCAGACTTGTACATCCTCTCCCTGCAGGGGCTCTGGGGTGTGGTGGGAAGCGGCCCGAGACCTGGGTTCCAGCACTCATGTTGTTGCTAATATGCAATGTGACCTTCTGTATATTGCTGCTACCATCCAGGACCAGGAAATGTCTAAGGAAGGCAGGGGTCCCCAGCCCCTGGCCATGAACCACTACTGGTCCGTGGCCTGTTAGCATCTGGGCTGCAGCAGGCCAGCAAGCAAGGCTTCATCTGTATTTCTAGCTGCTCTGCATCACTCACGGTACTGCCTGAGATCCACAGCCTGTCAGATCAGCAGTGGAGGCATCAGATTCCCACAAGAGCGCAAACCCTACTGTGAACTGAGTGTGGAAGGGATCTAGGTAGTGCGTGCCTTTGAATCATACCCAACCCTCCCACCCCCAGAAAAACTGTCCCCCACAAAACTGGTCCCTGGTGCCAAAAGGGTTGGGATCGATGGTCTAAGGGTTTCCCTGTGGGGTAGATGGAGCTCAGGAAGGCTAAGGAGACCCCACCCCTCCTCTCTGCTGGAGGGAAATCACCCAGCACCGGTGAATGTGAGTATGTGAGTCTGTGTGCACGTGGGGGTGTCGAGTGTGTATGTGTGTGACATGTGTCAGTGTCTGTGGCAGGACCAGGGCCAGCTAAGGGAGGGAGGAGGGAGGGGCAACAGTTAGAGGCTGGGTGGGGCTGGGCCTAAGCGTGAAAGGGCACCAGGGACAGGAGGAGCGGCCCCTCACCGAGTAGATGGCCTTCATGACCCGGGTTGCTGTGGAGACGCTGGCGGTGTCATCGTCCCGGTCAGAATGCATCGTGAGAGGCTCTCGGTTCACTGTCTCCACCTTGATGTCCAGCTTCCTCAGGGTCACATCCTTGCGGCCTGGGACAGGGACATGCACGCAGCTGAGCCTGATGCTGTCCGCTGGCCTCCACTATGGCTGCTTCCACTGCCACCCACACTGGGCTGAGGCACTCAGCTGCCACCCCTGCCCATTGCAGGCACTGCCTGCTCTGCGCCCTGGAGGGCTGGGGCGAGTGCTGTGGCTGCAAGGGGTCAGACTCACTGCCTTTGCGACGACGATACAGGAAGAACACCAAGGCGATGAAGAAGAAGATGAGCAGGATGCCCGCGCCGATGGTGGCCCCAGCGATGATGCCCACAGGCAGCACCTCTTCCGATGGGGGAAGGAAAGGAGCAGGGTGAGGACCCGGTCAGGTCACACTGGGAATCTGAGCTTAGTGCTGTCTGAAGTCTCAAGAAAGAGCTATGGTGGCAAAGATGGATCATGCACAAGGCTAAGCTTTTTTCTTTTTCTGTTTTTTTAATTTTGGAGATAGAATCTTGCTAAGTGGCCTCAAACTCAGGATCAAACCCTGCCCCAGCCTCCTGAGTGCTGGGATTATAAGCCCACCAGCACATCCGGCTACAGCTAAGTTTTGACTGAGCTTCTGGGCTCTGTGAGGTTTAAGGCCAAGTAGCAATGGAGAGGAAGCTCTGGACTGCGTCTGGGTTGAGTCTGTGCTTCAGCTGGGCCAGAGCGGAGGTCACGACCACACCCCAGCCCTGCAGCTGAGTGTCGGCTTGGCCTTAGTCTCGGCTGTCTGTCTGTCTCTTTTGGCCCAGCTGCCCCAGAAGCTTGGTTCCTCCTTTCTGGGCTGGGCCCTTGGTTGAGGTCTCCAAACTCTCCAACCTTCCACCTGTGTCCCAGCCTCTTTTGCTGCCTTCCCCATCCACACTATGGTGCCTGCCGCACCTGTACCCTCCACCTAGCCCAGTCTTCCTCGAGGCCCCTCTGCTGCCAAGCTGAGGAGGAGCCTGTGCCTTCTCTCTTCCTGGCTGTCCTGGCTGGGCCCAAGTCTTGCTGACGGCTCTTCTCATCTGAGATCCTTCCCCGCTGTGCCCCATACTATTCTCTTCTCTCTCCGCATCTGGCACCTCACCCTCAAGGCATCCTCAGCTACACCAGAAGGGATGGGTTTTCCTTGGCGTCCCACTCTCCGAAGTCAACGGCTAGGACTCAAAAACCCAAACAAACTACAATGCTATCTTTCCCTTATGACACTGGGGAGAGTCCCAACCTCAAAGCCCTGCTGGAGGTGCCTGAAGGAGGGAACATGTCTTTCCAGTCATATTGAGATATTTTTACTTCTTTATTTTTTTTGGTACCGGGGCCTGAACCTGGGACCTTGAGTTTGTGAGGCAGGTGACAGAACCACTGAGGTAAATGCCTGGCCCCAGACTGAGATTTTTTGAAGAGGTGGGAGGAACCCAAATTTACTGAGCATCTACTGTATGCCAGGCAGCTTATATATATTTTCTCAGTTAATTTCTACAACAATGTGATGAGGAAGGTAGCTGTTACTGCTCCTTTGCGCAAATCATTTTTGTTCATCTGCACACATTTGCTTCTGCTCTGTAAGTTCCTCCACTAAGCTGAGAGTGTCCTGTGGGCAAGGCTTGTGTCTTGTTCCTGGCTGTCCCTAAGCCCCTCATGCAGAGCCTGGCATAAGAAGATCCTCAATAAACCTTCAAAAAGTGAGTGAATTTCCCCAGCTTCAGCTGGGAAGATGAAAGACAGAGACTGAGAAAGAGAGCAGGGGGTAGAAAGCGAATCCTGGCCCGGAGAGAAAAGGGAGCGTCACACCCCCAGGCTGCCTTGTACATGGCCAGTCACCTCGCTCTACCAGCTGGATGATGGCTGTGCCGGGCCCGAAGCTGTTCCAGGCAGTGCAGTTGTAGTGGGTCTGGAAGTCGGCCTCCATGACGTTGTTGATGGTGAGCGTGGACAGCACCCCGCTGCCGGAGTTGGTCCTCTCCACTGTGTAGCGTTCCAGAGTCCCCACCTCCAGGAAGTTCTCCTTCCATGCCCATGCCTGGGACGGGAAGGACAGGAAGTAAGAAAGCAACAGGTAGGAGATGCACGTGCCCAGGTGTCCCCTGATCCACCTCTCAAGGCACCCTCACCCCCACATGCCATCTGCCCCCAAGCCCTGTACCCAAACAACAGCCACACCAATGGCCTCAAGCCCTTGGCACCAACTCTCCACGAGATGAGCCAGACTAATCTAGGGACAGTCTTTAAAAAGCAGACTAGTGAGGCTCACACCCTAAATGTGAATCTCCAGGGGAGAGACCCAGGAATCTTCTCTTTTTAAAGTGGTCCCATGTATTGTGCATGTAGGTAACTTAATACACTGACGTCTTGGGACACTGCATGTTGCACAGAAAGTTCTGGCTTGGGGCTCAAGAACCCTAGATTCCAGTGCTAGCTCTTTCTCCCTCCTGAGCCCCTGGGTGACCTCTCTCTCCCTCTCTAGGCCTCATTTTCTTCATCTGTAAAATGAGAGACCCAGGTTAGCACTGAACAATGCTCACAGCTGCTTCCAGCCTTAGAGTCTGAGTCCTTAGCTGGACCTTTCACCAAAGCACGCGAACCTGCCTGGCTGGCTCTACACACCTATCCACAGGCTCCTGTATCAGGCAGGAACCAGAGAGGAGCATCCGCTAGCCCCTCATCCCTGCTCTCCGGCCGGGGCATCCCCCTGCACGTCCTCACTGAGGAGCGGAGCCCAAGGAGGGGGAGCAGCTGAGAACTGGCTTCTTTCCAGGCATCCGTCCTCCCAGCTCCATAGGAAAAGCCCCTGAGAGCCCAGCCGCCTGCTGCCCGGCAGCCGTGGTAATGAAGTGTCCCTGGGAAGCCCTGGAGTTAGCCAAATGGTCATTAAATGTGATGAGAGGTTTGACGGTTAATGGTCATGGAAGGAATTAATGGCTCATGGCATGGGGGAGAGGAGAGAGAGGAAGGAGCAGTGGTGAGGGGCTGGTGGGAGGAAGGCAGGAGAAGGGAGAGAAGAGCAGGGCAGGGTGGGAAGGGGAGCTGATGAGGAGGGAGGGGGTGGGGAAGGGGAAGAGAGAAGCAAAGGGAGAGACAGATCAGGCAGGAGATGTGGGAAGACAGAGCATCTTGGCCATGGGACAGCCAGAAGGGCGCTGATGGTGACCTGAGTACCAGGTGCTCCCCAGGGCTCTTCACACCTGTTGCTACAATTACTCCTCCTCCTGACAACCCTGTAAGTTATAGCCTCTGCTTTATAGATGAGGAAACTGAGGTCCAAAGTACCAAGTAATGTGCTTAGGATCACAGGTGAGGAAGGTGGCGGGATTTCCTCAGGCAAAGGTTGGAGGGACAGAAGGGCAGAGAACTAGAAGGCTGGACAAGGGGTGGGGACACTGAAGACACCAAGCTGGAGCTGGCCAGAGGAGGAGGCCAGGCAAGGGCAGAGCCACGGGCCACTCACAATGCGGTCTGGGGGTGGCGTGCTCCCAATGAAGCATTCCACCTTGCCACCGTCACCCCTCACAGCGTACTGCACGGCTTCACTGGAGATGATGGGGGGCCCTGTGAGCAAGAAGACACAGTCAAGGCTGCCCAGAACCTGCAGTGCCCACTCCCAGACCCGCCTCACTCGGCCACTCACCGTTCACGTAGAGTGGCACCTCCCGCTCAGCCACTCCAATCCGAGGCACGATGGCCCGGCAGGTGTAGGTGCCAGCATCTGCCTGCGTCACGGACTTCAGCAGCAGCTGGTTGCTGTTACTCAGGACCTGGGCAGAGAGAGCAGCCTCGGGTGGGGAGCCAGGAGGCCGGGACCCCTATGTCCATGAAGGCCCCGCATCAGAGGCATTGGAGAGAAAGCAGGAAGGGCCACAAGTGAATTCGCAGCAGGGAAATGGCATTCCCTAGTCCAGCTGATCCGTCCCTGAACTCTAGACAGGCTGGCACCTAAACCAGGTCTCCAAGGGTGGGTGGGGAAGGGGGAGGCCAGAGACCACAGGTGATGGCTGCAGTAATTCCGAGAGGACACGCCTCTTCTGATGACCTGTTCTAGTGTTCTGACTGCCTACCGGGTCGGATGCTTTAACTGCAATTCTTCGTCCTACAGTTCTGGCCCAATCTGGAATGTGGGTCTCTAGAGCTGTGGAACCCAGCCTGCTCCTCTCTGGCGGGCCATCCCCGCTTCCCCACCTTCTTATGAACCATTAATTCACCAGCTCTTCTTGTCACTCCAAAGCCTACCTCAGGCCTTCTTCCCTAGTCCTTCCTCACTCTGTTTCCCATGCACAGACTTCTGGCTTCTCCCTCCCATGGGCTCTAATTGGCCAGCTGTCCTGTGAGAAGGGCTGGGGCTGACTGCGAGCACTGTCCTTCTCTCATCCCAAGACCCTACAGTGATCCCTGGTTCAGTATGAGAAAGAACCCGGACCCTCCCCTTGCCCCTGCTGTGGCCCAGTGCCGGTGCTCTTGCTCCCAGCACTCAGGACAGGCAAGGAGAGTCTTACCATGTTTGAGTCCTTTTTGGTCCAGGTAAGGGTGAGGGGGGGATTCCCAACCCAGACACAGGTGAGGGTCACATCAGAGCCGATGTCTGTGGTTGTGGGCTTGGGGTCCACTACTATGCGGGGGGCAACTGAGGTGGAGAGAAGCAGCTTGTCAGGTTCTCAAGCTCACAGGTGTGCCTTCCCTTCTCCTGCCGTTATCGCCCATGTTTATGCCCCATCGCCTCCAGCTGCACGGAGCCTGCCCTCCACCCCGTCCAGGTACTCACAGTGGACATTTACTAAAGTGCTGACGTTGGTGCTCCCCACTTTGTTGTGGACCTCACAAGACACAGGCTCCGTGAAGAAGGAATAGTCGACATTTGTCTCATAGCGACTCTCGTGGGCATCTTCAATCAAGAAACCCCCCTTGGCCCACCTAGGGGAGGAGGCAGTAGAGAGGTGGGGTTGGGCTGTGCTCTGTGGCCAGAGACAATGGGATCCCCAGTGCCCGCCACTGCTGCTCGCAGGGTCTCTCCAATACGACTCCCAGCCCCAGCCCCTTCACCTGTAGCCCAAGATCTCAGGGTTGGCTGTGGCCTGGCACGTGAAGACCACCCGCTCGCCCTCCTGCACTGTCTGAGGCTCAATGGACAGAGTCACAGTAGGAGGATCTGCAAAGTAGGGGACAGGAGATCAGGGTCTTTTCGGTCCCTTCCTAGCATATACATTCAGACCTCATCACTGTGGTGTGATCAGGAATCTGGGTTTCAGCCTATCAGCTCCAACAGTACACAACCCACTACCTCCACCTTTTCCACAAGGAGCCTGTAGGGGGCTGGCGAGGGTGACTGACTCAAAGATGGTACTCCAGGCAGGGAGGGAAGTTATTTAATGGATGCAACAACCCACTGTGGCCACTAGGCGTCAGTGTGGGCCCATCACAAATAGCTGCCCAGGATCCTTTGGTTCCTTGGGCAGAGGGAATTTCTGAGCACCTACGAAGTAAGCACACTCTATGCCAGATGCTCTTACGCTATAATTTATTTAATGGTCACAAGCCAAGAAGCACTAAGAGGTCCACGGTACCTTATCTGAAACCCTTGGGACCGGAAGTGTTTTGAAATCTTTGCCCCAAGTCACGCACCAGTTTAAATCCAGGGCCTGGCCGAGACTAAAGCCAATGCCCCTTTACCTATGTCCTCAGTGTCCCTGGTTCAGCAGGGGACTAAGAGGACGAAGGGAGCACTTGTTCCGAGGCCTGTGCTTCCCAGAGGCAGCCCCTCCCCGGACACCACTCACGATGCACGTCCAGCTCAATGGAAGTCTCCTTGCCACCAGGGATGGCCTCGTTCGTGCTGCGGCAGGTGAAGACGCGCCCAATATCCAGGTCTGTGGGGTTAATGAGCAGCTGGCTGATGGTAGTCTCCCTCTTCCCGTCCTTCAGCAGTTCCTGGAGTGTGCCAAGGGTGGGAGACAAAGTCAAGCTGGAAGCCCTCTCCTCAGTTCTTGAAGGACCTGACTCAGTGGGGGTCTTTAAAGCTCCACTCTACCCCTGCTCCTTCTTCCACTGAACTCTTTATTAATTGACTTTTTTTCTTTTTTTTGAGACAAGATCTTGCTATGTTGTTCAGCCTGGCCTCGAACTCTCAGCGAACCTCCCGCCTCAGCATGCTGAGTGCTCAGATTACAAGCATGGGCCCCCATGCCCGGTTTTTAGTTGACTTTCTAACAGCACTTTTAAATTTACGGAAATTAGTTTCCATACCTTCTCTTCCCTGCCTCATGGGTTCCCTCGTCACTAACATCTCGCACTCCTGTGATAAATGTATTAGGACAGATGGGCCAGTACGGATGTACTGCTACTAGCTGAAGCTCCCAGCTTCCAGGGGTATTCATTCTTGGTACAGTACAGTTTTCTCCGTGGGCCCGAGGCTCATTCCTGGAATTCTCTGAGTCCAGTCCAAGTCCCTTCTCTCCTGGAAAGCCTTCCTGGGCAGGCCCAGCCCTCAGGACTGCCTTCCAGCCCGAACCTGAGCACCTGTAGCCTTGCTCTCAGGCCCCACGTGTGAGATTCCAGGGTTGTTCGGTGTCTCCTGCCAAACTGCAGACTCCTTGAGGGAAGGGCAGGGCCCTCAGGACCAAGACTCACGCTGGCTTGGTGACACCTAAACCGAGGTTCTTCAGTATGACTGCAGGAACCTTCAGTGTTTTTCATACTGCAGACTGCTTATGGGAAATCGTGCTACACAACCAGAGTCAGGTCCTGCATCTTTGCAGGACCACACAGAACCAGTCGGTGCTGGAACACGCCTCCCTCATACTGCCTCACAAGGCCTTAGTCTTAAATGAATATGGAAAAGGGAAATGGACAAATCACATGGCGCTACAGGAGAAAAATAATAGTTCTTGGTGGTGAAAAGGTTAAGCACTACCGAGCCCAAATGATCACTCACCAAATGCTGACACCAAGACTGAAGAGTAGTGGATTGGCCAAGGTCACAGAGGGCAGAGCAAAAGCCAAAGTCAAGTACCCTGGGCTCAACACCCTCGGAGAACAAAAGGGGAGCAGTCTCTCCCCACACTGAGAAGCATCTTCTGAGAACCCAGGAAAGAGGTGGCCACACAAGCACCTGCCTGCAGCTAGAAGGAACCCAAACAGAAGTGGATTCTAATTCCATCTCTACCTTCACCTTTATCCTATGATCCCGGGCAAGTTGCTGAATGTCTTTCACAGTCAAGGTTTCCTCCTCTGTAACATGCATCCAATAAATAATCCCTGCTTCTCCCATCTGTTAGCAATCGCGGCTGGGTAAGGTACTGACTTGCTGCTGCAGGAAGGGGGTAGAGCTGATCAGCGGAGACAGCGCACCGTTAGACCCCGGTACGAATCCCAGCTCTGCTACTTGCCAGCTGTGTGACCTTGAGCAAGGCACTCAACCACTCTGACTGAAGTTTCTGCCTTTGGGAGATGCAAGGAGCACCCACATTATAGGATTAGGAGAGCCTGTCCATGAAGTGTTTATCAAGTGCAGCACCTGGTACACAGAAGTGCTCGATTACCCTTATTCTTTGTTTCTGCTCAGCTGCTGATTGGTGTGCTGAACCTGGGAATCCACTTCTCTTCTCAGGGCTATGGTTTTCCCAAATGTGTAATCAAAGCATTGGACCAGATGACCTCTGAAGGGCCTGTCTCTTGGCTCTCTCTTCCTCAGCCTGTGGTCAGACCTTGTGGGAAAGAAAAGGTGGGCTGGGCCCAGAGGAGCGGGCAAGGTCTCACCGTGCTGGCCACGGCACCTTCCTGCTGCGTTCCATCCCGGAACCAGATGATGGTGGCGGCAGGCTTGGCACTGAAGGCTCGGCAGGTGAGGTTGTGGGGGGTGCCTGCCTGCAGCAGGATCACGGGGCCGCCGTCAATCCGGGTGTCCTCCGGGGGAACTGCCGGGGAGAGCATAGCAGAGTCAGCCCAGGGTGCAGCTAACAGTACGCTGGTGACCAAAGTCTGTGCTCTCAGAGTCGCCTCTCCATCTGCACCTCTTGGCAGGGTGCTGCTACCCGCCCTAACTTACAATGACTGTTTTGCTCCCAGGATGGCTTCAGCCGGGGTGCTCAGCCCACAGGCTTTCCCAGCCTCTTGACGGTTATTCTTTCCTAGCCTGCACTACTTCTGACACTACATCCCCCTGACACTGTTCCAGGACGCACACTAGAGCTGGAGGAGTAGCCGCACACTCGAGGAAGACCCGGGCTATCACACACTTTGAGAAGGGTGACTACCTTCATAGCAAGAGTTCCTAGCCCCTGGGCCTTTTTTTCTGGGGTCCTCGAGCCCTGTGGTTTCTCACCTCCTTGGGAGCTTTGCTTATGCTGATTCTTCCCATGTGGGATGTGGCATGTCATTCTGTAAAGTGTTACCATCCTGTCAAATCCCAGTAGATGCAAAATCTTCCCAGGGCCCGCCCCCAGCCAGTCACTCCCAGGCCTTAGCACCTCTACCCTGTATTGGGGTTATTTATATTGACTATCTGCCCCTGGCCAAACCAAAACTGCTATCCCTTGGAAAAGCAGGGACCCTGTCTCACTAATATTTATATACTGTCCCCAGTGCCTAGAAAATGGCCAAAGTCGGCCCTTGCTGAATACTTAAGGAACTGAATGGACTACACATCTGCTGGCAAACAGGAGCTATCTCCCTGCTACACACATCCCCACAGGCTTCTAATGCTAAGGTGCACCAGCCTGTAAGCTCCCAGAGGGCAGCTCTGCTTATTTATATGCTTCAACTCCCAGTATCTAGCCAGAGCTTGGTCACGGGTCAACCTTGGGGGAATATTTGCTGAATTAAGGAATGGGTAATTGAGGGGATAAAGGCCTAAGGACTTTGATTATAATCTTTATGGTCCATTGATGAGGAAGGGTATTGTTTCCTTCCTTCTAAGAGAGACAAGGAAGACTGAGAGGGAGCTTTCCAGAGGGACCCCTGGGAGGGAAACTTGGAGGCCCGTGGAGCTGAGGGGGACGGGGCAGGTCTGCCCAGTTTGTGAAGGTCTCTGTATGGTGGTTTCCAGTGGAAGGGAACCGCTTTCAGCCCATCCTGGCATTCTCTTAACTCACGCATGCCCAGTGGGATCGAAGGGAGAAAAGTTCAGAATCAGGGTACACTTTTAAACCCTGGCACCTCTGTCTACCTGCTGTGTGATCTTGGGAGAGTCACTGAAGTCACCAAGTCTCAGTTTCTTCATCAGAGGCATAATAATGGCCTCTCCCTGGCCCCTTATGAAGGTCAGGGCAGTACTGCACATACACTGGAAGGTGGGGGCACCTGTGATGTGTAAAATGCGTTAGCTTTACTCCCTGATGAAAATCAGCAGAGGCCCTGGCTATGCCTGGCTAATTATCCTCTGAATCCCATGCTCTCCTCCTCCTCCTCCTTGCTCCCTACAGTATCAGGTTCCAGTGCCAGATGGGGGCAGGTTTGGGGACGGAGGTGGGAAGCAGCTCACTGTCATAGCAAAGATTGAAGTCCTGGACAAGTAGAGCCCTGGGCTTCTACTTTGCCCTGTTCTCCTGCCCACTGATCAGGTAAAGACTGACAACAGCCCACCTTTCCCTACAGTTTTCCAGACTCTTCACCCATCTTCATGGGCCCATTAAACAATGCCCCTCCAAATCTGGGCAAAGGAAAATAAGGTTAGACAGGTGTCTATTCAGCCAGCCCTTGGACGGCATGGATCCATGTGTGCCTTTTTTTTTTTGTACTGGGGATCGAATTCCAGTCCTTGTGCTTGTGAGGCAGGTGGTGGAACCACTGAGCTAAATCCCCAGCACACGCATTTCTGACCTGTGACTTCAATCTTAAATGTGTATCAGTGTGCCCATGTGTCCGTGCCCTCAGTTTCCTCATTTGTAAAATTTCAAAAATAACATCGACACCCACTCCTCAGAGCTCCTATTGGGTAATGTGAAGCCAACTGTAAGCTGTAACACGATCACCAATCATTTCTACCATTCACTGAACGCTTACCTTTCGTGTCAGCCAGAGTGCCTCGTGGTACATGGTTTCACTTAATCCTTACCACAAAGTACAAGTCCTTAATCCTTCCATGGAAATATCATTAACCCCAATTTACAGAGAAGGAACTGAGGCTCAGAGAAGCGAGAATGGCAGAGCTGGGCTGTGGACCAAGCCCGCCTGACCCCAAAGCCACACTCATCGCCGCTGCACTCCAGTTGTTACTGCTGTGAATAATGAGCTGTAGGTCTGCAGCTCTATATTATGTCTGGCGCTGCATTGGCTGGGGTGGGGGGTGGGGGGCAGGCCTGCTCTCAAGCCTGCTGCAGGGAAGAATGAAAGAGGCCATTCTGCAAAGGTGGCTGGCCTGGGGAGGTGGAGGTGTGGACCAGGGGAGGCTTCATGAGGGGAGTTTATGAGGCTCACGGGTGCGGGGAGGCTGATCCCAGACCCGAAGCACAGCCTGCTCCTTGTTTCTGCCCTGTCCAGTATATGGGCCCCCAGCTGCCACAAACCAGGGCTGCAACGGGGTGTGGACAATGCCACCCCTTCTTGCTGCCTCTGTGTGGGGCAGGTGACAGGTGTCTGAAGGCCGGAGAGAGACGGCAGGTGGGGAGTGAGGGAGAGGTGCATCAGGACTCACCATCTGCCTCCCGCTCAGCTCTTCTCTGCTCAAGTCAGGGAAGGCCCCACAGCAATGAGCAGACCCTTCCACAAGCCAGCCAGGTTCCCACACTGAACTGAGGCTCTCCCTCACTGGCCTGCAGGCTTTTTAACAAGCCACTCCCCCAGCGAGGGTCCCCACTGCTGTTCTCCTTCTCCAGGGAGACCTGGTAGACTGAGCCAAGCCAGGGGGTGCCATTACCAACCCTCAGTCTGGCCACACCAAGGTGCTTGGTTGAATTTTCTTCATTTCTCTCTCTCCATCTGTGTATGGAGCAGGAGAGAGAAAAGGGAAGAGTATGAGGGCCCCTCATTCAGATGGGAGTTCTCCAGGACAGAAGCAGCACCTTCCAGGGTCCCAAACAGAGGCAATTAGGGAAGAAGAAAGGAGGAAGGGCCCCTAAGTCTCATGGCTTCCTTGGAATGCCTGGTCCAGTGTGGATGGAAGATGATGTCTTGGCATTTTGTGTTTATCCCTGATTCCTACTCTCTAACCTCAATTCTGCCCCTAGCTATTCTTCCCACTTTAGTCTCAGTGAAGAAAAGCAAGTCACCAACCAGCTGTGAGCCCCGCTCCTTCCAAAGGACCGGTCACCAGGTCCCTCCAGTCCTCATTTTCTGACACCTCACACTTGGCCAGATCTTCACAACCCACAGCTCCCCGTGCAGGCAGCGCGAGGCGGCACTTACTAAGAACAGGCTGCTGTCAGTAAGCCACATTAACAATGAAAAATCCATGCCCAGGAGCCGTGACCCCATTGGGTCTCAGTGCCAACATGGCCAAGGCGATATCAGAGCCCAGGACCCTGGATTCCAAGCAGCCCAGGATTCTTTCTGCTACCCGAGACAACCTGTCACATTCTCACTCCCCTTGCCTGAAAATAATAAGGGTCCTGGTTCCAAGTTCATTCCTCTCAGCTCCTCTCTCCTTACTCCCCACTTCAATGATTTCATGTTAGAGGGAAGGGAAAGAGGGAGATCGGAATAGATCAGACAGAAGCAGGAAAGAGACAGGTCAGAGTTAATGACAAAAGGGCAGAGAGGGTCCCAGGCAGAAGAGCCTAAGCCAGAGAGTACACGGGAGACCACTGAGCGGTGGAGGCAGAAAGTCTGAGGCCTGGATTGAAGAGACAGAGGGGTAAGGGGTGTCAGAGCTGGCCTCATTCCGGAAGGTCCTATGTGCGGGAGAGTCAGCTCGCTATGCAGATGGTCCTGGCGGGTACCATACAGGGACATCTGCTTTGTCCCCAACAATAGTGCTGCTGGGAACAGGGCTTCCACGAGACAAGCCTCCTGCAGCTATAGCTGGCAGCAGACACAGCAGGACCTCAGCCCCAGCCCTCCAGGCCCTTCCTTCCAGCCTGCACCCCTGTTCCCTGAGGAGGCCCCCATGAATCTGAGAGGAGGGGTGAGTGCAGACGGTAAGTAAGGATCGGGCAGCTGAGCAGGAAAGGTGGGGCTGGGAGTCCCAGCAGGGCTGTTTCTCAGGGGCTCAGAGGCAACAGAGGTGTGGAGAGGAGGAGGGAGAAGCTCCCTCACCCACACGCCTGACTGCTGGGGAGCTGGGAAGGGAGGGCATTCCACCCACCCCTCCTCTCCTGCAGGAAGAGCCCATTTCCGTGCTATGTCCCAAGGTGGGTCTGGGTCCTAAACGGCCTGGGCAGAGGCCGGAGCAGAGCATGCCAAACCCAATGGCCCCTACGGGCCACCAGCGCCTGTCCACAGCCCCCTGTTCTCTCCTCATCTGCACTTGGCTCTGGAAGACGTTGAAGGAAGGAATTTTCAGAGATAATCACAGGGAGAGCAGGGACTATGGGCAAAACAAGGCCAGGGGATCGGAGAGGGCAGAGACAGAGCTGGGGCGGGGCGGGGCGGGGCGGGCCAGTCATTACTGAGCACGGTGAGTTTGGCCCTCCGGGAGCGCAGCGCGGCCTCCGTGGCCTGGCACTCGTAAGAGGCGTCGTCAGAGAGTTCGGCATCTGTGATCTCCAGGTTGTACTGCCCGGCATCCGCGGAGCCCACGACCCTGTACCTCGGCCAGGCTGCAGAAAGAGAAAGGGTAAGGCGCAGCCTCAGGATCGGGGCTCCCCACCCCAACGACGTCCTCTCCCCACTTCTTGCCCCGAGTCAGGACCCACCCAATCCCAGGCTGCCTCCCTCTCTCCCTTCTCCAGGGGCACCACCGCAGGTGGGATCCGGAAGCGCCAGACAGACTCCAATGTGTCAGGGCCCCCACAGCGAGCCTGGGAGCCATAAAGCAGGAGGGTTGGTTCGGGGCAGGCAGACGTGGGGGGTGATGAACAGGAGCAGATGAAATCTCCGGAGCTGTTTGCAGACAAATGTCTCTCATAATGACAGCAAAGGAAGAGGGGAAAAGGCAGCCAGCAGGGAGAAAGCAGAGCGGGGAGAGGGAGAGCGTGTGGGCGGGAGGAAATATAGGGCAGCGCGGTCCAGCCCCAGCCCGAAAGCTCGCTGGGGCCACCTCTGTGGGACTTGCAAGGCAGAGGGAAGCCCAAGGCAGGCCGAGGTCTCGCCCCACGCTCCACGGGAGGGACGGCATGGCGTGGTCCACCGGCTCCTGCCTAGCCAGGGCCCTGGCGGCCGGCCCCGTGGGTGGCCTCCATTCCGTCTCCGTCTCCATCTCCGTCTCAGTGGCCGTCCTCTCTCCAGGCTCCGGCTCACCGCTCACACCCTCAGTCACCACCATCAGCTCCCGCCCGTGATCTGTGATCTCCCCCTGGCCAGCGGTTATCGATTCTTCTCACTCCATATCTATTGATCTCTCTCTCCAAGTTTCTCTCTTTCCATCATCAACAGATCCACCCGAACCACCTCTTTCCTTTTTACAGACGGGTACACACACATCTCCCCTACCTGTACCACCACTTGGAGCCCACCGTAAATAATCTCAACCCCCTCAAAAATAGTATAGAAAGAAATACACAGCTCAACTCCCCCACACTTACACCGTCGCTGGGCTTTTCAGCTAACAATGTTTCCACAAAGCATCTTCTCTGTTTCGTGCAAAACCCACAGGGGCACTTATAAGGCAGCCAGTCCTGTGACTGTTATGCCCGTTCCCAACATCAGAGAGAGGAAGTGGCTTTCCTCAGGTCACCCAGATGACAGGTGACAAAGGCAGGACTAGGGCCCAGGTGTCCCGACTCCTTACCCAATCCCTCCAGGCAGCCTTCCTGAAGGTCTCTTTACTTGCTTAGGTATGGCCTTTTGATCCTGAGTGAATCATTATGTTTTCTTCAGCACCGACTATAGCCTGTGCTTAATAAATGCTTGTTGAATGAATAAGTAAGTAAGTGCTCAGGGTGATGTTAAAACAAGTTTCAGGCCTCTGAGCAAACATAGCCTGGGCAGCGGGGAGAAGGTGGAGCAGAGCCGGCCTGCATGCAGCACTTGAGGACCGTAGAGAGTACCTGGAACCCCCATCATGTACTGTCCTGACACCTCCTGCTTGACTTGTGGCCGCTCAGGATGTGTCTGTCTGTCTGTCTGTCTGTCTGCAGCTCTCCTATGCAAAGGTCTCTTGGTTTCCCTCCATCTCCCAGGCTCTGCACTGCCTTTCTTGGGCCCATCCAGTCTGGGAAAGATGAAGCTCAGGAGGAGAGGGAGAGGGGAGCCAAGCGTGCTAAGAAAAGTCAGAGGTGGTGGGTCCCACAGTCTTGGTGGGGATGAAAAACGAGGGTGAAGATGTCACCACTTGGGTGTGGGGTGGCCACTCACCTTTGAGGCCTTGTCCCATGCCCAGGGCCAGCCCATCCTTGGTCCATTGTACGATGCCAGAGTAGTTGAGGAGCACACAGGGGAGCACGGCTCGCTGTCCAGCCACCACAGTCTGGTCAGCTGGCTCCTGGCTGAAGCGGGTCTGGGTCCCTGGTAAAACCCAAGTGGTCACTGGATAAGGAGGTGACTGAGAAGGGCCCTGCCAAGAGGCCTCCCTACCCCAGCTCCGATTCCTTCCCTGAAAGAGGGAGACAGTCTCGGTGCCTGCTCCACTTCTGTGCCAACCCCTTCCGTCTAAGCAGTCATGGGTTTGTCCTTCATTCCTTTCTCCCTCAGCAGACCCCGGGAGTGGGTTTCAGGCGCTGAAGTGCTTAGCAGTCACAGCAATGGAGCAGTATTACATAAAGGGCCTGGAGATGGGTCTGGCCCAACCCCCCTGTTTTGTGGAGCAGGACACTGAGTCCAGGGAGATGGGAGACTTACCCAAGGGCACCCAGTGAGTTAACAGCAGAGCTGGTCTTAGAGCTGCAGCCCCTGCCTGCCAGGTCCTGGGATATTCCTCTATGACCCTATTGCCTGCCTCTCCCACACCCAGATTCATAGGTGATACAGTCATGACCAAGGCTGCTGGTGGTGTCACACACACACACACACACACACACACACACACCATCCTTGGGACTCCGGCCCAGACACATGAATCCATCACCATGACTCCTACTAGGACACGTGTCACATGAGCCAACACAAGGCAACAAGTGTGCAACTACACCAAGCACAGTTTCTCCTGAGGATGACTCCTTCAAGTGCAGCAGGCTGGATTCCATGGGTCAGGCATGTCTACACAGCCACATGTATACAGATCCAAAACAGTGGCTCAGAACCCGCTTCTTGGCACACTGGCCCTGCGCCATGTTTCCTCCTTGACCCAGTGCTGGGGCACGAGGGTCCACACACAGACACACCTGCACACACTCAGCCTCCCGCACTGTGGGAGCCAAGAGGCCATGTGACTTTGTTCCACTCTCCCTACGGCTGCGGGGAGCTACACATGGCTGCCCGTCTGGCAGCTCGGCCAGGAGCATTTGATTAGAGAACTGCAGAGTAATTGCCTTTAATTGTGGAGCCTAAATGGAGCAGGGAATTGGATTGCAGGTTTCTTCTCCCCCACTGCTCCCACTCACCAGCTCACTCCATCACTGCTCGGCCCCAGTGGTGGGACAGTCCACCATGCTGGAGGAGGGGGAGGAGAAGGAAGGGTAGGGGATCCCTCCAGCACACCCACATAACCCAAACCAGCTCTCTCCCCAACCCCAGTGGCTTCCTCCTCTTCTTTCCCTCCTGGCACAAAGCCTTTGCAGAGACCACAATCCCCAAATCCAGCCCTTTCTAAACCCAGATTCCCCAAATTTCTCTGATCTGCTGTGGCTCCAGAGTGTAAATGAATATACTCATCCCTCTCCATTTCTGGACCTTCCCCTAAAACAATGTAGAGGCAGTGATGCTACCCATCTTCCATGTCCCCCAAGGCTAGGGCTCAAAGCCAGGGCTTGTGAGCATTAGGCAAGTGTTCTACCCCCATGCTACACCCCAGCCCCAGGATCCTAGTCTTACCCTCTTCCTTCTTTTCTTCCTCCGACCCTATTTCTCCCCCTTCTCAAATCTGCCCCATGTTCCCCTTCTAGGAAGCCCTCCTAGACTCATCTCTTAGCTCCTTGAGCAAGCACAGTCTGTCCATCACTCAGCCCTACCACTGCAGCTTTATCCACAGGATTTCCTGTCTCAAGCTATGAGGGCTTATACTTGTGTATTTGTCAGGAGATTGAGGGCAGCTGGTGGCTGGGGATGTTCGTGGTGTTTCTCCTATCTGTTGCACCAGAATAAGAACCTTTACCCCAAGGCTGGGAGCCATGTAGTCTTCTCCCTCTCAATCTCCCTGAATATTAAATATTAAATATCTGTCCACATTGGTTATGGGACGAGGAGGTGGCAGGGCCAGTAATGGTCTGTTGGTCAGAATATGACACAATATAAAGCAGCCTCTTTACTCTTGGTTAAGTGGACCAGTTCAGCTCTTTGGGTCTTCAGGGCTCAAACAAATGGGGGTCCTTCTGCCGTACTTGAGAGTGGCTCCCCAGCACCGCTGACCCGACTTTGTCTGCACATTTCTTAAAGAAGGAAATGATAAGGCTCACATTTTGAGGGACGAAGGTGGCAGGTGCTGAGATCCTGGGGGAAGGATGGGTCAGGTGAGCGCCAGTATTATTAATTCAGGCATTGCCCTCATTATTATTCAAATTTATTCATATCCTTGTGCATTTCTGTAAAGCAGCTACACTCTGCAAACTCTCCACAGACACGTTTCTCCTTCCCATACCCCCTGGAGCCCAAGTCAAGGGCTTGAGTGGGGTGGCCAGTAAACCCTGGCTCAGGGACGGATTTTATATTCATAGCATTCCTGCATGGAGCTGGGACACCCTGGTGTTGTGCTGAAGTCTCCAGAGGACAGTGAGCAGCTGCCTCCTTGTCACCTGGGCGCTAGGTGGTGACTGACCCTGTAGCGGGGGTCAGGAGACAGGGCTCCAGCTGGTGAGGGGCAGGCAACCTCGGGCTTGTCACTCTTCATCAAGCCTGCATTTGCTCACTTGTACAGTGCACAGGTCCCTCTCTATATAAATACACCCACCAGGAGCTGAGGTGTAGGGCACAGACTGAGGCTTACATTGTGCCTCTGCAGCTTCCTAACCAAATGACCTTGGCCAAGTTATTCTCTAAGCTTCCTTTTCCTCCTCGGCAAACTGGGAATGATAATTTCCACCTCTATAAAGCTGTGAAAGTCAAACACAGCGAAGAGTGGTACACCATGCTTGAAACAGTCTTTCCCACATACCCACTAAATGGTAGCAATGATCATTATTTATCCTGAGCACTTAAGAGGACTAGAAGCAGACAATTGGAAGGACTGTGTGAAAATGAACAGGAAGGTGATAAAGAAGGTGGTATCTGTCTTTCTAGGGATTTGGGGATTTTGAAGTAGAATTTAAAAGAGGGGAAATGGAAGCCATGGTGACCTAGCAGAGTGTGGTGAGGAGGAAAATGAGTGGTCTCAAAATTTAACCAGGAAGGCCACTGAGATCCTGAGCCTGCAAAAGTCTCAACCAACAATCCTGGTCCTCAAATAGCTCCTGCAGCCAGAACAGCATTTGAGATGGAGTCCAGAGGCCCCAGGTGGTGGCCAGCTGGCTCATGAGTGGGGAAGGCCCCCAGTCTCCTGTCACCAAGTCCTGTTGTCTCTTCTCTGCACATACCAGGCTTTTGTCACCCCTTCGTGCCCTTGTGCAAGCTTTGGTGAGGGGCATTGCTCCTTTCTGCTCCCTTGGGATTCAAATAGTCACCTCCTCTGGGAAGTCCTGATGCTTGCCTGCATTCCCTCTCAACCTGACATCTCACTTCTGCTATAGTAGGAACCGTTTGGCACTAGCCACCCTCCCTGTGTGGCCCAGGGGGACCTTCTTGACTGTACACTACATCCTTCAAGGGTCGGCTGCCAGGCACACCACTGGAGTTCCACATAAATCTGTGGCTTGATAAAGCGCAAGTGAGCAAATGCCCAACCCACACACTCATCCAGGTGAGGATTCACAGCTTTGGCAAAGGGTCTAGCAGGAGGATGAAGGGGTGACGTGCTCCCTCCAGTGGGCCAGGATTTGGGGTCGGGGAGGTGACATGGAGTCAGTCTGCAGAGCTAGGAAGGGCAAGAGCAACAGACTCCAGAAGGCGCTGCTGTGAGGATGCGGATGACAAGGGAGGAGGAAGAGGCGGACGAGGAGAACAACCAGACAGTGAGCAGGGGGTGCCAGTTTACAGGCACAGCACTTTATTAGCAAGAGGGTGGAGGTGCCCTGATGGCCTTAGGCAAAGAGGAGGGACAAGGTATTGATTTGTCCTCCAGTGTCAAGAAGGTGACAAGAAGTTAAGAGCACATGACACACCACACCCAGTGGTGACTTTGTAACTCTGAGGTCCTGAGTACCCGACCTCCCACCACCCCTGCCACAGCAGTCACCCCAAACTGGCAATGAAATCTCAGTCCCATGCCCACACCCACTCCCAGGAAGCAACAAACAGCAAAGCAGGGAAAGCGTGGCTGGGGGATGGGAAGCCAGGTGGGAAGCAAAGCAGGAAGGGCCTGACTACAGACAGAAAGTGAAAACAGATCAGCCCCCTACAGCAATGTCAACCCAAGGCCCTCACCTCTGGGGCCAGCATGCTTCTGTGGGTTTAAGTGACTTCCCACCTGCTTTGAGCTCCCTCCCTGCCGGCCTTAAGACGCCATCGCCATCACACACACACTGAACTCTTAAGCGGCCATTGTGAAGGCCGGCAGAGAAAAACTGGGCTGTACACATGGCATGCAGGAGCATGAACACACACACACACACACACACAGCACGAGGAGGCAGCTGACAGAGGTGCAAGTGACGTTGAGAAACAGAGACAAAGGCAGGCACCCACACAGAGGTAGGGGGAGAGTGAAGGAGACTGGATGGTGCAAGGAGGGAAGTGGGGTGCGCGGCTAGAAAAGGTGCCGCGGCATAATAAAGACCCAGGCCAGGGCAGACGAGGACAGCAGAGAGACGAAGGCCGAGAGACATGGGCAGGGAGGTGTGTGGATCATGGGGGAGCAAGTCCTGCCCAGGGAATCGGTGTCCGCTGTGACCCTTGGGTGTGGGGGTCTCAGGCTCCAGGTGCCCTTGCCCCATATTGGGGCCACTTGTCTTTTCTACTGGAACAGGAGATTCCTGGAGGCTCAGCCAGGGTTTGAAAGCAGGTAAAGGGCAGAATAGAGACAATAAGGCAAAGGAGGGCAGTCAGAGAGATCGTGGAGCAGGAAGTGGGGCGGGCTGGGGGGAGCAGCAGGTGCAGGGAGATCATGGTTCTTGTCAAAGTCGAGGACAGGGGGAACTGTCCCGCCTGGGGAACCGGGGCGTCTCCCAGACCCCTGCCCTTCAGATCACGGGGCACCCTCATGCCAGCACAAAGCTGTCTTAGCCTCAGTCTTGGATGCTTTCTCTCCTCTATTCCCCCACTGCACTGTTCGGGCTTCTGGTTGAAGCACTCATCACAGCCGGCCTTGGATTAGAAGTTAC